CTGCACAGTCCTACAATCTAATCATCTCTTCAAGGCTCCACCTTTTCAATTACCATAATAGGATTTCCCAACCTCTTAACAGTTACAATGGGGGCTAAGTTTCTAATACATAAAACTTGGGGGACACAATTCAAGCTCCAAGGAGTTTGGAGGGACATAACTCAATCCACTACAGGAATGATATACACCAAATTTAGGACAGAAGTCACTTCTGAGGAAAGTGGGAACAGGCCCAGGACTAGGGTTAGGTATATGAGTCACTTGCCTTAGGTACAAAATTTAAGGAGGTCCTAAGAAACTCAGCAATTAAGACACATAATATTTTAATGTAATATTTTTAAAAATTAAAATTAAGCAACCACATTGTATATCGACAAAATAAAATTTAAAAAAAATGTAATATTTTTAAAAATTAAAATTAAGCAACCACATTGTATATCGACAAAATAAAATTTTTTAAAAAAATTAAGGCACAAAGAAATCCATGATGAATAAATATCAACATTTTAAATAAAGACAACAAGATTAGTACAGTGCCATGCCAGGCCATCCTGGAGACTGAGGCAGGGAAGAGAAGACCTGAAGGATGAGTCTTTAACTATAATGTCTTAGTTCCTGCACGTCAAGCGAGCTCTGAAGCAAAAAGGGGCCAAAGGCTAGTGTCTCTATAGTATTTCCTGCACTTTTGTGTATTCTGTTTCCTAATTAAAAAAATAAAAGCAACAAAAATTAACAAGAAAACAACGCAAGGTACTCTATGGTTTGGTAAGCTATTTAAATAGCTTTAAAAAAGTCCACTCTTACCTGAAAAGTATGAATAGTTCTTGCCCATGCATGTTTTATGTGACAATATTTCATTAGCTTCCCAAAATCCACAGTTACTTCCAAGCCGGCCATATTATTGATGGTCAAAGATCTTCTCTTTCCAAAAGTTACATCAGTTACATCCTGTCACCAAAACAAAGAATGATTTTGCGTGTCTTCAAATATGCACCCAGTAAAGATATTCTATCTTTGGGTTGAACATAAAATACAAGCACCTTATAAGGAAAACAGCATGTATATTCATTACAATTAAGAATTTGAAAAGGCTTAAAATCTCCATCTGAGCACAAACTGAATATATCCACACCCAAATATCTTAATACATACAAAGAGAAGTTTTCAGTCCTTGAAACTTATCTTTAAGTAAACTCTCTGAAGAACAGTCTATGTTGTCTTATTCTGAAGTCTATACATTCCATTTCTTGCATTGAGTACATAAGTGTTCATATACTCTTTGTAAAGTTTACTTTTCTTTACAGCTCTTAAAGATGATTAAGTTAGGAGGCATCTACAGGATGAGGACAAATACAAGGGAACCACTTGTACAGTTTTTATATTTAAGCAGCAACCATGTAAATATGCGCTGTAAAATATAAGTGTCTCACTTGTGCCTTGTTTTTTATTCAAGCATTTCAAACTTACTAAAAATATGTTTCTTTACAAAGTCTTCCAGAAAATGTAAGAGGAAGAAAGACTTCCCAACTCATTTTATGAGGACAGCATCATTCTGATACCATAACCAGATAGGCATTACTAGAAAACTACCAAACCCATGTCCCTCATAACCATGGTTGCAAAAATCCTTAACAAAAAATTATGGAACAAGAATGTCAACGCTGATATGATTAGATTAGAAATGTATCTCTAATTAGTAAAATGGTATTATTTTCTGTTATCACTTACGTTGGTTATGAAAAATATTTCTCCATTGCATAGCCGAATGCCACTTTCAAAGTCATGCTTATTTTTAGCAAAATCATGAGGAGTACCACCAAATTGTTCACCACTGGCCTCTAGATCATTATTTTGCTGACTTTCAGAGGTGTTTCCGGGGAGTAACTCTGAGAGGTATGCATTCCTGGTACAACAAATTTTATCACCAATTCCAAATACAAGTCTATTCTGATGATCTCTGGGTTAGGAAATGACAATATATCATTAAAGTTTGGAAATTATCAATTTCATTTTGTTTATATGTTAACTCCCACTCAGATCTAATACAATAATCAAAATAATTTCCATATCCTCTTTACATTCACTTTCATTGTCTAAAGGTCAGCAAGAAGTCAGGCTCTCATAGTTGTGGTCTGATTATTTACACACCATTGGCACCACCTCAAACTCAATGACATTTCTCAGCCAGATTTTAAGTTACAAGTGTTGGTGTAAATGCTGATGTCTCTCTTTCCCTCTATATTATAAAAGCTACCAAAAATCTTATTAGTCTACCTTTGAAATTCATCCTCTCCTCTCACCTCTCTTATCACTATATTTCAGGTCTTACAACACTTATACCGATTTCTATTATTATAATTACAACACTATGTCAGCATAAAAGCAGCAAATTGAATAAATGGTGGTGATATGCCAGTTACTATGGTGAGTGCCTTAGGTCTATTATTTCATTTTATTCTTACTACAATTCTATAAGGGAAATTCTGTTTAAATAACCGCTTTTTGATACATGGAAAGGTGAAATTACCTGGCCACAATCACAGTTGCTGGGACCCTGATTGTATGGCTCCAACACTGTGCTTTTTAACCCATTGTTAGGCTACCTTCCCTCGGCAGGCAGGAGCTTCTTCTGCATCTTACACATCTCTAGGATCTCTACACTTAGTATAGAGCAGCATTCAAGAGAAATGAATTAGTTTTTCCTGTGTATGAACAGACTGGCTTCTCTATGCTCATATTTCTTTGATGGACTCTAAGGTGCTCTCTGTAGGCATCCTGTTTCTAAGTTTCTTGGAAGCACTACACACTTATAATTTTAAAAATCGCCTGAACTCCCCATGCTCATCTTGGAGAAGCTGGAGGTTGCCAACCTGGAAACCACAAGGAAAATTTCATTCCTTATTTTTCTTATTATACTCACTACCAAAAAGTCAATTCCTAAGGATGTATATTACATTTACTTGAAGAGATCATTATACTTCACAAATGAGAAAAAAAGTTTTAAATATTTGGTTACAGGTGACAAATATCAAAGGAAACAACAGAACAGCAAATCAAGGAAGGACTGTCCTCAAAGTTTCAGTTTTTTAAGATGCTCACTTGATTAGGTGGCCTGTGTAGTGCTTGCAACAGCAGTGGTTAATTAGATCACAGTCTTGCCTGAAACACATGAAAACACAAGAGTCACCTGAATATTATCTGTTATGTGCTTATTTACATTATCAATAATTAGATCTACTGAATTCTATAAAAAAGTTTCCAGAACTTTCTCCAGGAGTATTTTGTAATTTTTATCTTAACATAAACTTTTGTTCCATTAAGATTTCCTGTGATTTCTAGATATGACATTTGGTAAAGAGAGCCCCATTTAGAAAGTGCCCTCTGACATATTTAACAAAGAAATACCCCAAAATAAGAAAGAGAATTAACAGTGATGAAATACAAGTCTCCCATCCAAACAGAATCTACATTAATACATTCTGAGATTCAAAAGCTAGATCAAAAATGTTAATGCTTTACCTTCTGAATGCAATAAATTGTGATGTTTCTGCACTTTGTAAGTCTTTTTCTTGCAGTAAAGTACTAACCGCAGAATATAAATCTGACAATTCAAGAGAAAAAGTTAACACAGAAAATCAACAAATTATAACCATGTTTTTATGGAGAAACTAATTCAGAATTCCTGCTAAAGGCCCAGGAAAACATCCCACCAAATGGAATGCAACTTCACGATGGGAAAGTCAACTCATTCCCCACATCAACCAGAGCAATAGGAAAGGTAATGGAGAGAAGGGCTCCAGACACCCCACCCTCGATGAAGAGGTCAACCCCTGGCCAGGACAACTCCTAATTTGAAATATATTCAGTGTATATTCACTGACGATTTGTGAATGCTGAATTTAAGAAATGAGCAAGAGCAGAAAATGTGTAACAGAATTACTAATATAAAACTTCCTGTTTTAGTCCCTGTGGTGCTAGTGGTAATGAGTTAGAATTTGAGAATCTATATGCTTTATACGTTATCTCACTTAACTTGATATTCACAACACTCCTATGAGGTAGGTATTATTATATCAAAGGGGCTGATAATTAGCTGGTACATACCAGTATAAAATATTGAGATACTTCTGTATTGGCTTGGAAATGGACACTCCCCTAATACCACGATGCACCAACTCCAACCATCTCCTTCCTTCCTATCAGAGCACCCCCAAGATTCAGCAACTGAAAGGTTAACCCTGGCACAGCAGGGGGCATCCATTCCAATGGTACTCATGCCCTATCAGCTATTAAGTAGTCTAACCACTTATTATATCTATATAATACATGTGAAAACAAAGGCTCATGGAGGTAAAAGTCATTTTCCAAATGGAGCAGGACAGCCTGCCTCCCTCGTTTAGAGCTCAGATGATTGACAATGGTGACATGTACTTATAACTTGTCCTTTCACATTGGAACACTGAGAAGCAGGCTCCCTCTAGTCTCTCTTAGCAATAGTACAAAAAGGCAAACATTTCTCAAGAGAGAAAGAAGATATAAAAACTTGGGTAGAAACTTTCCAGGCATTTCCCTAGTAGCAGCTGAATCATGGAGGAATGAAAAAGCCCAGGCTTGTGACACCCTGCTCTAGAAAAACTAAGTTACTTACTGAGCCATTCATTTTTTAGATGAGGGGAGGATTACCTCTAGAAAACGACCAAGACTCAGCTCAACCCCAGCCAAGCCCTGGCCTGACAGAGCAGAAATTTCCAAAGGTCTCCAAAGCATGTTGTTTTCTCTTACACAGACAAGATCCAGCTGTTCTGTACCTTGCTTTTTTCACTCTCTCTACAGCTAGCAGATCAATATGTACAACGTATTTCATTGATACTGAGATACACATTTCAGCATCTCTGAAATTCTAGCCCAGGTGTGAATCATATTTTAGGTCTTTGTACTTTGCAATAATGGTATAATTTACTCAATAACTTATTTCACTATTAGTGAAAAAGTACTATATGTCTCTTTAAGGAATATTTATTCAATTTTCTTAAAGAAGAGACTAATTTTCCATCATAAATTTTTAATTAAGATAGAAAAATAGCATCAGCTAAGTTCTGCTGCCATTCTAAAATGGACTTTTTTCTTTTGTTTTAAAGTACATTCTCATTAATGTAAAGAGTGGGTAACAGAAATAAAACTAACAGTATTTTAAGTAGATTTAAATGGAGTGGTAAAGAAAGCGAGTTGCTTAACTGTCTAAGCCTCATTTTCTTCATCTGTAATAGCACCTAGTATTCACTGAGCTGCTGTGAGCATAAACATTAGCTATTAATTATTTACAATTGATTCAATAAAAATCAAATTATAAAACAATATGCAGCTTATAATCTAATTTACGTAAAACTAAAATAAATAGTATGTGTTTGTATATGATATGAGAAGGTTTAAAAGATTAATACCAAGCTTTTACTGTGTTTGTTACCTTGATGGAAATGTGTTGGGGGAGGAGGAGGAAGGAAGATTACCAGGGAATCTTAATTTTTACTGCAAACACTTACGTATTGTATGACTTTCTTTTAAAGGAATATAAGTTATTTCTATTTATAACTATGTATTATATGATTCCATTTATTTTTTTTAAAAAAGAATATTGTAACATGTGAATGATCACTAACCCAGGGGAAGTGAGCCTAGTGACACACAGAAAGGGGGAAAGGTTTCTAAGCAGATACAGTTGAAGGTCACTTAATATCATGTGGGGAGTGAATGTAGTTAAGTGGGAAGAAACCAACTTAGAGAACTGTAGCAAATACAATAAATCCTCAAAAATAACAATTTAAATCTTTAAATTTCTAATGTTCTAATTCAATTAGAACTAAAATTAAAGGTACTAATTCAACTTTGAGTAAACCATTACACTGTTCTTAAAAAGTCTGTCCAGTTTATAATACAAATAAAGATCGAAAGAGGCTTAATCTATTCAAACAAATTCATTTACAATAGCTAAAATAATATCGACTATTCATAAGAACCTAAATTTACATACTGCCTCATAATTGGTGAACGTCCTCAACCCTCACAACGGTTCCACAGGCAGTGCCACCATATTTCCCATTTTACAAATGGTTAGGTGACATCACATACACAAGGTCATACATGTAAGGGAGATTTCCTATCCCATGCTCTTTGTCAACACTGTCATGTTGTCATCCTAATTGGAAGTGATGCTTTTCCATTTTATAAAACAGAACTATTAGGAACTTAACTTGGCAACAGTTTGACAGCCATAACTTTTGTTTCATGCATATACTCAAAAAAACCTTGCTTTCTCCTGAATGAACTTGGAATAGGAGGATTTGCTTCATTTGAAAAGAAATTATCTACATCCATTTATTTACTCGACGAATATTTATGAGCTCTTACCATGTGTCAAGAGCTTACTTCTTTACAAAATTCTAGGGTAATCTCTTTTGGATGATTAATAAGTTAGTTTGTTTATTTTCAGTGCCTCATTTTTTACTAGCAATATTTATCTTTACCATCAAACAAAATAAAATTATATTAGTCATTTAATAGCTGTATTACAAAACTTAAATACTTATACTTAACTGTACATATTATAGAAGTTTACACTTACGAGAGTGATGATAACTCTTAGACTGAGAACTGGCATCCTCCTTTGGGAGTCTCACAAAAATAAAGCTCTTATCTTGAATAGAGATGGGGAATGTTGGATTATCAGAGATGTTCAGTTCTGCATCGAATTTTGGAAATTGGCGTCTTGAGATTCTTGAATGAAGATAAAATACATATACCAAAAGTATTATAACCCCAAAATGTGTCTTCATATATAAACAGAGCTAACATTCTATGGTAATTAATATCTATTAATAGATAATAAACAGGGAGAAAGGGTCACCCTGATATGCATTATAAATAGTAAGTAAGTTTTATAATAGAATTATAAGACATAAAATTATGGTACTACATTTAGTAATCAGTCCCCTACCCCTGGCAAATTAAAAGAACTCAAAAAAAAAATGATCAGAGGATTCACTGAGCAGCATTCTGAGAACCTAACCCACTTATCTCCAGACCACAAAAGAACCATACAAGGGAGGCATTATCCTCATCTCACTGGTGAGTAATGTGCAGCTTAGTGAGTACAGTGGGTTGCACAGGCCACAAAGAGAAAGCAGGGAAACTGGGAGGCAAATCTGGGCATATCTGGCTCTATATTCCTTTCTATTTAAATTAATTTGGATTCATTGGGGCCTTTTCCATACATTTACACCATACTCTTTCTTTTCTCCTTTATTCTGTGTGTTTTGTATATAGGTTCCTATTTTCCCAACTGAACCAAGTATCCACATTTATTTGCTTCTATTTCCTCCTCATCCTTCTTTCATTCTTGTATTTTCCAAGACTAGCAAATCATATTAGAAAACAGAGTAAGGTGCAGGTACCTGGTCATAACTGAGCCTGTCCTTGGTTATTTGGAAGAAGACTGACTCCCCAGGCAGACCTAACAGCAAACTGATTATCGGAGGTGGTACCTCACTGTGTCATCTTCGACCTTTCTCAAACAAGAGTTAAAAGGAAGTAAAGAAGAGGGAATAAGGTTGTCCTTGCCGAAAAATTCTCGGATTTAATTGGGGAGGTTCTAAGAATCATCATGGATTTACCATTTTGCTTCTGTCCAGGACACGTAGCATACTTCCATTGCTAGCGCTTTCCCCTGGTACAGCACAGGGATCCTTCATAGTCAATAAATATTTGGGGAGATGATGATTAGGATGAAATGATAAAGCAGCACAATATGAACCAAATGATATTTAAAGAGTTACTAAAAAGAATTCCTGAGTTTCAGATAAAATTGAGTTCTAAAAAATATAATGTGCTTTAGAGTCTTCCAAGTTTTTTGGACTTTAAAATGACCAATCATCTACCAAAAATGAGGTGGCCTTTTGGCAGAAGCAGAAGGATCAGAGGAAAAGAATATTACACATCCAACTCCATTATTTTTCTTAATGTCTTATTACGAACCCACATACACCATTCCTGTCAATTCCTCCTCTACTCCCACTATCCTGGGTAGTGGGACAGTAACCAGGGTAGAAATGGGCATGGAGAAAGCAAACTGTGAATGTTTTAGCTTCTGCTGACAACCAACCAAGGAAATGTCCAAGCAATGAAAATGAAATTTTTTAAAAAAGAGTAAAATACAAAGATAAATTTTGGCCCAGTGAATAAGACAGTCTCTCAGTATTCCAAGGACCCATTACATCTATAGATTTTAATATTAAAATAAATGTGATGAAATAGTAATAATTATGATTTTTTTGATACATGGAGTAAGGAGAAACCAAATGCTTGAGCCCACAGAGGATCACTCTAAAGGCTTATGCAAAAACTGGGGGAAGAGAAGGATTCTTTCCTACTTTAAGGGAAGTTATATGCCATGGGTGCCCCCAGGACTCATTCAGGAATGAAAGATCACATTTAATTTCTTTTGTTTTGAGCTTTCCATCACAAAAATCATGGAAATTTTTTTCTCCAATTCTCTTTTGAACTTGAATGAACTCATTTCCACGTCTCTGTTTCCCCTGGGCTTATTCCAGTCTTTAAGCGTAATGCAAGTTCAATACACATCAAAATATTTTTAAATCAAGAACATGCATCCATTCTTAAATTTCAATAATAATTTATGCTGAACCAGTAATGAAAAACATTAACTTTGTTTTTCTGTGAGCTAAAAGGTATAGAAAATGTACTGTACTAAATCATTCTAATTCAAAAGCTAACATATTTTTTGCCTTTTATTTCTAATACAATAAGAGAAAATAAAAAATCTTAGTTATATTATACCTTGTAGCATTGTCCACAATTAGCTGAGATTCTGCTCTATGGTTTGTCTTCAATTCAATAGCACAATTTCTTGACTTAAGAGTCTCAAAAAGATCTTTCAGCAAGTTACCAGGTTCAATACTGGGTAACTGTCTAATATCACCTAAAAGGAAAAGAAAATATATACGTAAGTAGGTTTTAAATAACTGGGATCCTAAGGTTTAAAATAAAAATAAAATTTTTATTTCTCTCCACTGATATATACTATAATAATAAAGACTTACTCTAACTAAAAAAGAAAAAGCCCCCCAAAATCTTTGTTTAAAATTATTTAAGAATATAAATAAAAAGAATATAAATAATTTTTAACAAAAAACAACACTCAAATTAAGCAGTATAAGATATAAAAATCATGACAACACAATAAAGTAATAAAATATGAATTGAACTTCTTTCATACCTATAACCACTGGTAAACTGTATAGGGGCATATGTTTTAGCCAACGTGTAAAAATAACTAGGACTTAGATATCCAGTATTTAGTTCACTTATTCAATTTTGCTCAATGTCATACAGAATGTGGAAAAATCTATGGCTTCCAATACATAAAATAAATGCAAATAATATAAAATAAATGAACTAAAGGTATTTGATAATAGATAAACTCCAGAAATCAAATGATAATGTTTGCTCTATTAAACATCTTTTTTGCTTAAAACAAATAAAATCTAGAGATAAGAAAAGTATGTACTGGGTGGAAGTAGGGAGAAGTCATTAATAAAATCAACTGCTTATAAAATATTCTCAAATTCCTAAAAAATAGTTCTTATATACAAGTTGATTCTCAAATTTCAATTTTATTTTTTCTTCATTAAATTGTGTAGTACACAGATCTCTACTACTAGAGAATCTAACTGAACCTCATCAGAACTGGAAAGATTTGGGCTGGCCAGTTAGCTCAGTTGGTTAAACGCAATGTTGTAATACCAAGGTCAAGGGTTTGGATTCCCGCGCTGGCCAGCGAACAACAAAAAAACAAAAACAAAAAAATTGGAAGGATTTAAGAAGCTAATGAGATATAATTTGAGTTATTGGCTTAGAATTATAAAATTACTTTTAAGTGATCTATAATTTCTAATTTTTACAATTTCTAAATGAACTACATCCTGATTTATTCTGAGTCTGTGACTTTTTACTATTTTAATAGGCATCATTTAGGGATTAGCAGTATCCCTTCATAACCCTACTTCATTTGTATCCTAGCCTGCTAGTATCCTGGCCAAAACAAAGAACCATCCAAGCTGATTAGGAAAGTGGTCAGATTGTACTTAGTATAGCTTTGGCATGGCCTTCTGTTTTGGGGAATGGTACAGTGAAATGGTGTAAACAACCTACTAACCACAATGCTTTGAATTAAACATTAGAATTATGATATGTTAACTTACCAAGGATAATAAGCTTAGAAAGTTTGGAGTGCTCACACAATAAATTTAACACTGATTTGAAGATTCCTACAGAAACCAAACTCCCTTCATCTACAACCAGAACTCTAACCGAAGAAAATTTCCATGGCTTGCCCTTAGTCATCATTTTTTTCTTCCATAAATAGAAGCTATAATTGACCTATAAGCAAAACATGACATTTCTAAAATCAGGTTATAAAATTTACAAAACAACAAAAAAACTAACAGCAAGTTATTTTAAAACAAAACTCTTAAAATGGGAAGGGGGAGTGGAGTACAGAAGCCGGGAACAGGCTAAAGAAATAGAAAACACAAAAGTGATAGGGATGAATATGCAGAAAACATAGATGAAATGAATCTGAAAACAAAAAAGGATCTAATAATTCAAAAAAAATTGCTTTCTGATGAGTAGTGTGTCTAATTTAATAAGCTTCACACATAGCACTACTCCACTGCAAAAATCTCAACACTTCTCTCAGTGCCTGACCAGAGTAAGTGCCCTGTTCTTTTCCATTTCGAAATAAACCTTCTCTTGGCCTTCTGAGATAGCCCAATAACTTAAGCATTCCTCTTCTTCCAACTATATTTTTCCATTCTGGAAATAAAGGGTTGCCTTTTCAACCTAATTATGAAAATACTATTTTTTCTTTCAAGTATTCTAAACTTGCTTACCTCAACATTTTAAAAACCACCACCAACAATTACAAAATGACTAACAAAACTATTTATTACAGAGGTAATACTATTTATTATTTTTAAAATATAGATGTGGAAAAAAGTCCTTTGTAAAATTGGCAACCAGACGATGTTAAACATTTCCGTGTATAAGGGTACATCAAAAATTTCATGGAAAAATAGAATTAAAAGATAATACGAATCTTTCCATGACTTTTTGAAGTGCCCTTGTGTATCATTCCAGAAATGTTTCTATGTCATAAGTGTGGACATATATGTATACACAGGTTTTTTTTTTTTAAAAGATGACCGGTAAGGGTATCTTAACCCTTGACTTGGTGTTGTCAGC